ACCCTGTCTCAAAAAGACAAAAAAAAAAAATGTGTACCAATAAAATCAGTTACATAAAAAAAATAGGATACAGAAATGTTATATACTACATGACTCTTGAAAAACTGCATATAAAAACTCGAATATTATACAATATGAAGGGGTTCAGATTGTCTTTAGAAAATGAGTTTTTCTATTTTTATACTTCTGTGTTTTTCAAAGTTCCTGTAAGTACACTGCAATTTTAACATTTATTATTCAAATATAGTTTACAGCACAAAATTCAACCCTTTCAACTGTACATACTAGTGATCCTCACAAAATTGTTCAACCCTCACCACTCTGATTCAAGAATAAGCTGATCACTCTATAAGAAATCTGTGTGTTAGCAATCACTCCCCATTCCTGAGAACTACTAATATATTTTCCGCCACTATGGACTTGCCTGCTCTGGACATTTCAAATGGAATCATAACAGTATGTAGATTTGTGTGTCTAACTTCTTTCACTTGGAATGTTCTCAGTATTTATCCAGCTTGTCACACAAATCAGTCCTTCATTCCTTTTATGGTAAAATAACATTTCATTGTATGAATAATATCACATTTTGTTTATCAATTTATCCACTGACCCATTTATAGGTATTAGAGTTGTTTCCACTTTGTGGCTATTATGATCCTGCTATGAACATTCTTATATATAGTGTTTTGAAGACATGTCTTCAATTCCCTTGAGTAGATATCTGGGAATGGAACTGCTAGTGGGATGTATTTTATAATTAAAAAATACACAGACTTCTCTGTTAGTGGAAACTGTTGACTTTCAGAGTCACCAAAGGCACAGATAAACAAAGATCACCCACCTGACAAGGTACCAGTCTGGGAAAGACATTTATAACAGATTCAAGATGCCAAAGCAGACACGTTAATAAAATGAGGTTGTAAACTGTCTACAGCTACTGTATTTATTGGCAAGACTAAAACAAAGATAATATTTTATGTATATTCATTTTTTTCATGTTTTCTTTTATCCCAATTTTCAAGAGGCAGCTAGGTTTTAGTATGTGTTGTATAATAATACCATTTTACAAACTCAATCAATACAACTTAAATATTTACTATACCAACGCAGAAAACTGTAAAACTATACAACGTTAATAATTAATATGGTATCCCTGTGCTTTCAGGAAAAACAGGTTAAGCAAAACTCTTAACATCAACATCAACCTCCTGAACAAACTTTGTTTCTTTCTTTTTTGGGGGGGGGGGTTGTTTTTTTCCGGTACCGGGAATCGAACTCACGACCTTGTGCTTGCCAGGCAGGCACTGTGCTGCTGAGTTAAATCCCCAGCCCCTTGTTTCTTTCTTTTCATTGTCCTGAAGCCTTTGAGTGGATCTTACCACTCACCTTGCTTTGGTTGTTTGGTATAATCCATTTAGCCAAGTAAAGATAAATAAAGTACATCTAGCTAAGTAAAAGTAAAATTACATTACATAGAAGTAATTTTATATGCAAAGTATGCAAAAGCAGCCCATTCTAATAAACCTGAAACTCTATTTTGTCCTTTGCATATTATAAATTTCTTATTGTTCAGTAATGTGCCAGTAATATTCTAACAGAATAATCTAATTAGCAAAAAAATAATAGAACCTTCTATGTCACAGCTTACCGGGGAAGAGATAGATTTTTGAGACTTCTATATTTATATTCCTTCTCAATCACTTATTGGCTGTGTAATTTTTGATGATTTACTTAGCCTTTCTGAATCTCAATGTTTTAATAAAATGTACCTAAAGATACATGTTTTGGGACTTCCTATGAGAAAGGAAAGCAATAATTTGGCATAAAGCATGTACTCAATAAATTATAACAGCTGCTGCTATTCTTATTTTTTAATTTTATTATCAGTATTAAGTAGGTTATACCAACAGTTACCCATAGAAAGAATATAGAGAGAAATATGCCCTTCTGTCAGACAGACATTGATCCTCCTTGTCTTATTCCCACCTCAGTTTTGTTTTTGTTTGGTGTGGTTTTTGTAGTACTAGGGATTAAACCCAGGGCCTTCATATCGTGCTACATAGCCAATGCTTTTTTTATTTTATTTTGAGGCAGGGTCTTGCTAAGTCACCAAATTGCCTTAGTTGAACAGGTTGGGGTTAAACTTTCTTTCCCCCTGTCTCAGACACCCAGAATGCTGTGGGATTACAGGAGTGTGTCACCACATCCAGCCCTACCCTAGTTTTAAAGCAAAGAGATACTACCAAAAGGCTTAGCGTAAGAATCCATAAAGTTTAAGCAGTTATATCATTTGTGTTAGAAATAAAAATTATCGGGCATGGTGGTGCACGCCTGTAATCCCAGCACTCAGGAGGCTGAGGAAGGAGGATTATTGCGAGTTTAAGACCAGCCTGGGCTACAAAGTGAGTTTAAGGCCAGCTTGAACTGAATAGTGAGGCCCATCTCGAAAGAAAGAAAGAAAGCAAGAAAGACAGAAAGAGAGAGAGAAAGAAAGAAAAAGAAAAGAAATAAAAATGATCTTGTCATTTTGATTCTTAATCCATATTTAATTCTGATTTCTTATTTCAAAATTATTATATTCCTCTGGTATATTAATGAGGAATAACCCATTTTACTAAAAACCTGAAAACATTCGATTGTATTGCATGCAATGGAAGGGCAAAAGTCACTTAAGCAAACACTTTATGAGAATCAACTTCATACGTTAAAAACTTCATATGGAAGCAGCAGTAGGGTTTATCTGGACTTGTGAACATAAATACAAACAACTCAGTATGCTCTATTTGAACACATCATGGCCAATCACTACCGAAATGAAATCCCAGTTATTAAGCCTTAGAAGAAAATCTCAATTCTTCCAAACTCTATATATGTATTTTAAAATTATTAATTGACTTTGAGGAAAAAAGCAACATATGCAGCTAGTAGAACTGGGCATTTAGGTATAAGACAGCTAACCTCTGGAGTTCTAAATCGGAGAGATAACAGTAAAATTTTTGATATTATCTATATCATAGTATAGTATTATGTGAGAATAAGAATTCTAATGCAGTTGATAAAAACATTCTGTCCAATTTAATATTACCACTAACATATTAATATTAATATTCGTGTTACTCTCAAGAGAAGGAGCCAGACAACTCCCTGGCCTCTGAAACGCAAAACCCTGGCTGGAATCGAGAGACAAACCCTAAAAAAATAAGAAATATTTTTCACAGACTCAGTGAAGCTGAGTGATTATGGGAATATTTGCGTAAAAAGACATAAATGCCAGTCTTCCCATCAATCAAGTAAATTTAATTCTAAATGACTGTCAGTCCCTAGTGACCACCAATGGAATCCACCAATCAGGATCACGTGATCACCTGATATTCCTCTCTGTCCTCTGATTCCTGCTCAGTCCTCTCTTACACACTCTCTCACACACAAAACTCCACGTGTTTGCTATTTTGTGCTTTTAACTTCCGGTGCAAACAATAATAAGGGGTGTATAGAAAACATTTGAAGGAGAAAAATCAGTATCAAGGAATCTCATGATAAAAGGGGAAAATCATTTTCACTTGATATCTGAATCGATCAGAATCCATGAAAAACTATCAAATACCTGTAACACACGTCCACTGTTATAGATAGACAAAAATGTACTTGTGCATATATACACACACACATGCAATTCTTTCTGTAGCTATTTCAAAAAAGTGCCTGCCTCTGAGAAACACCCTATTCAAAGACAGTTTATTCAATCACTTCCCTGCTTGATATGGACCATAATAATATTATTGATAATCAGCTGCATGCTAATAAACATTATGTAACACTCCCTTTAGTAAAAAGCACGAATAAAAGTTTGAGAATGCCAAAAAGTAATATAATAAAAGAGCAGCAAGAAAACACAAACTTTTCTTTTAATGATAAGCATTAGAATAGTACAGTATTTAAGACATTAATCGTATTATCTGAAACTAGTCAAGCCCTGAAAATTCTTTCATGAAAACAAACACATCTTAATTTGAAATTTTGTAAAGCTGTAAGATGTATTAATTTACAAATAAAACGTGAGAGTAAAGGAATAATAAAGGTCAGTTTTCGCATGCACTTGAAAAGCCACCACAGGCGTCTTATCAAAACACATCACTTGTGCCTATATTTACCGTACCTGAACACACTGATCTGCCGTGCTGCATGTTAATAAAGAATGCAAAACAGAAACAGGGAAATGTTAGCAGAATAAAACTCAAAACTGTTGCATGGAGTATTATAAAAGTTAAGTCTCAAGTTTTTATATCTAGTCTTTAAGACGGTTGAGTAATTTAACAGTTTATTTTTAACTCAATCAACAAATCATGAAGCTCTTACTTATAAGTGAATTACCCAAGAGACAAGCTTCACTGTTAAAATATTTCACCCTTTTCAGGTTTCAGAGACAGTTACAAGACCCTACTACAGCCAGGCGTGGTGGCGCATGACTGTAATTCCAGCACTCAGGAGGCTGAGGCAGGAGGATCATTGCGAGTTCAAGACCAGCCTGGACTACAAAGTGAGCTCAAGGCCAGCCTGAACTGCATAGCAAGACCCTGTCTCAAAAAGTCAAAAAAAGAAAAAAGACCCTATTATAAGAGCCTTCTTCAGGTCAACTGGTTAATTCACTTATTAGAGCAACACAGAGATTAAGAGAAAAAAAGCCGTGCCTTTTAGATTATGTCTATTCAGTGCCGCTTTAAAAAGAAAGAACTTAGTTATTATTCAGCACAAAGCAAAAATAACCATTGTCAAAATGAAACACTTCCTCAAAGGCAGGGAACAAAACAAAGATTATAACATTAGAAATTAAGTATTCGTTTTCATGGAAACAATAAGAAGCTGCTTGAGTTGTTCTTCATTTTGAAGTACGAGTTTCCAAGCAAAACTTTTCAAAATATTCAAAAACACAGTGACTGTTGATGGCTCCACTAGCACTACAGTGAAATGGAGCAACAGGACTAAGCCCGCTCGGTACTTACTTCTCTTCTGTGACACGGCCTGCAAGCAGGCGGTCACGATGTCACAGTTGGTCTGTACTTCATGCAGAAGCCTGTCCTTCTGCTTCAGCTGCCGGAGTAACCTCGCTGACTGAATCCCAACTCTGTTCTTTAGCTCTTGGAGAATCATCTTCAACTCACTGGAGTCTATCAGGAAAGAAAATAAAAATAAAACAATAACTACCAACAGGAATACAAATCCCAATGTGATACGAGCAAAACATAAATATCTAGAGTATCTGTTCAAACCACCTAATTCTAGGTTCTTGCCTTAGATTACAGATATGTATTCAGTTGATACATTCTTATCAGGGGGCTGGGGATTTAGCTCAGCGGCAAAACACCTGCCTGGCAAGCGCAACGTCCTGAGTTCAATTCCTGGTACCGGAAGAAAAACAAGCAAGCAAACAAACAAACACAAAATTCTTATCAAATAAGTCATGCATTCAGTCCTTTCTTTGTCCAAATACTGTAAAATAAATTTAATAATACTGTAGGACAAGTTTTAACGCTGATGCTACCTGTAACATGTCAACAAGGTTCATTTGTCCACGTCCAGCTCTGACTTCACAGCTACCTTCCACTTCCTGAAAACTGGCTTGTACATTTTGCATCACTGAAGTGTTCCAGTGGTGAGTGTGCAAACAAGAATCTTTTTTAAATCTTTTACATTCATGATAAACCTAACAGCTGGTAATTTTTTTAAGCATTCATCTTCATAAATTATCAATTAAGAGTAAATAATTTTACCACATTTTGTAATGTGGGTAAATGTGGTGATTTCGATTTTGCTTTAAATCTACGGTCCCCCAATAGTCCATCTATTCAGTACAATACTGTATTTTCAAAACTCGGTACTTTTTCATAGAGAGTAGAAAATACATTTCCTTTAACAGATAAATTAGGACGTCTACGTTCTTCAAATTATCATTCACAACAGCATGAGAGGATATAAAAACTCATCTCATTTTCCACAACTTTCAAGGCACAATACCTACAAATCTGAGTTACACGTAGTTCATAATTTTCAGACCCCAGTGTGGAAATGGTCCTCACCACAAACACCCTAGGGACAGAAGCAAGATTACTACACCCTTGTGTGCTCCACACCAGCCACATTCCCTTTCAGAGTGTTAAATAATTGAAAAACAAAATTGTCATCTGAAAAATAGGGGCCAATCAACTCTCTAAGGAATTCCAGGGCGTATGATAATAAAAATCTCTAACAGCCAGGTGTGGTGGTGCACACCTGTAACCCCAGCACTCAGGAGGCTGAGGCAGAAGGATCACAGGGAGTTCGAGGCCAGCCTGGGCTTACACAGTGAAATTTTGTCTCAAAAATATTTTTTTCTTTTAATTTTTAAAAATCTCTAACATTCAGCACTTCACATACTCTGCTTATGTGCTTCTCACCACAGCCCTCTGAAGTGTGTCTTATTATTACTATTATCCCTCTTAGCTAGTAAGGAACCCTAGCAAGATAGGAGTCCAACTCCAAAGTGCATCCTCCTCACCATGGAAACACAGATGGTCCAGATTTCCTGAGGTGATACAGCTCAGGGATATAGCTCAGCAGCACAGCGCCTGCCTGGCAAGCAGGAGGTCATGAGCTTGATTCCCGGTACCAAACAAACAAACAAAAAACAGATTTCCTGAGAAACCATTTTGACACCTCACCTAAATAAAGGACCCACACGTGTTAAATCTCCAAACAGGTGCCACATTAGTACTACAGCCAAATTCCCAACAGTGAGAAGAAAGAACTAATGCAGACAACTGTATCTTCACCTGGTTCTCTAAGCTTAGAGTCCCAGTGATGTTTACCAAGAGAAATGGTGTGCCATTAGAGTGTGACGCCTTGTTCACTCTAGTAGGGCTGAAACGATCAGCTGGCCACTGGGCAGACGATTAAAACCAAACCTGGGGCAAAATGGACTCCTCTAGGTCTTGGCCATGACTAGTAGAACGGCCATTTATACGAAGTCCACTTGCAAAGCTTCCCCGTTTCCTTCTCTAAATTCTGGCTTGCCAATTTTTCTCTCGCAAAAGGAAATCACTAATCCTCCAAATCCCTCAGTAATTAAAAAGCCGTGTAGAGAGAGAAAGGCAGATCAATTCTTCAGGACTGATTTTGTTGGAGTCTGAAAGAACTGTCACCCTGTGGAACTTCTGGCATGAACACTCTCTACAAGGACAGCCAAATAATCGCGTAAAGTGAAAGGGCACAGCTCCAGCCAGCGTCCCGCACAGAGGGAGGAAGGTAGAAGCCACTCGCAACAACCATCTGGGAAAAACAAATCTGCACCAGGAAGCCAAAAGGGGAAACCAAAAGCTGTTTGCACAGATAGGCTGGGAAAAGCAGACAGATTTATTCCCCCCACCCACCTGCTACCGCCAGCAGCCAGACTAACTTTACACCGGGAAGACAGGAGGTCATTGTACAACGCCGCCATTCATCTCTCCCCTGGTCATTCAGCACAAGAAATGTTACTGGGGCTGAGCTTCTATCTCCCTAAATTTTGTACATGGAGGTCATGCTATATCTATGCCAAAAAAAAAGGTAATAATTGTGTTAGTGTTCGAGAGACAAGCTATATGAACATTTGAGAAAAGAAAAATCTCAATGAGGACATGAACTTCAGAGTTTAAGAACAAAAGAAACGCCAAATCATCCTCTCCCCGGTGAAAGCCCAGGTTATTTTCTCAGAGGGACGACTCCGTGCCAACTGAAGGTGCCCGCAGTCACATTCTGCAGTGAGGCCAACGCTGGGAGCGTCTCCGGGAATCCACAGGGAACAGAACAGAACAAGACCAAACAAAAACCACCTGCTGCTTGGAACTTCAGTTCTGGCAGAAACGGAATTCACAGGCTGTGCTTCGAAACTGCGTTATCGGATTATTCTGCCAAACGCGATCCCAGCGGTGTGGCCAGGCGAGGCGGACTTTAAACAAACAATCAGAAAGCCGCCCAGGAACCGCCGCTGTGCCGCGGCGCCCTGCGGGAGGCTCTGGTGCGGCCGGAGACCCGGGGAGAGCCCGACCCGACCCGACGCTCGCAGCGGCCCGCCGGAACCGGAGCCCG